AGAGCCCCCAGGGAGGCTCAGAGTTGGTGTGGTAGCATGGGACTCTTCCTTAGACCAGACAATATTCTGCTTCCTGTGTGTGATGGGAGCCACAGAACCCCCGGCCACCAGGGCCCCTCACTCATTTGTCCAAGAGTATTCATAGAATACTTCTGTTCTGTGCCAGGTACTGAGTTAGGGATACTGGGGTAACCAAGACAGATAAGGTCCCTGTTCTCATGAAGTTTCTAGTCTAACTTGGGGAGACAGACAGTAAATAAGTGGACAAATAAACACATCTAGATGCAAGCATGAGTGTCCCTGCGTGGCCATTGCCTTGGAGCGGGTCACAGGCTCCTGTGTGTCCCTGGAGCCCACTCCCAGGGCTGGCTCAGAGTTGGCCCCCACTCAGCAAACATTTGGTGAATTGCCTGGCATGAGAGAGAAAGCATACGGAAGGTGCCCAGTCCTTTTGGTCCTATCCATGGTAGAAGCCAGCATGTACACACAAGCATCTCATTTCAATTAAACAACATTTATCGAGGGCCCATCTATGCACCAGCAGGGTCCTAAGCCCTGAGAATCTAGACATGAATAAAATCAGATCCCTGGCTCCCTCAGCTGACAGCGCAGGGCGGAGGCAGGCATGTGAGCTAACCCGGAGCCCCACGGTGCTAGGATGGTGGTGGCTGTTGGTGCGCCCAGTTCCCACCAGGGCAGGACAGGTAGTCTGGGGAGGAAACACAGCAGGAGGGAAGGACGAGGACGAGGAAGCAGTCACAAATTTATACCCAAATCCATACAGATGGATAAACAGGTGCCCCCAGAGACACACACAGACACGGAGACTCACAGGTGTGTACACTGACTGCCTAAGCAAGTGTAGACATAAATACCCCTGTAGGCTCAGATGCTACACAGGCCATCGTGATTAAGGCCCGTTCGTGGTGCACCAAACTGGGGAGATGTGTGGGTGAGAGAATGGCCACATGGGGGGCTTGGCACACGGGCACCCTGGGAATCGCCAGACCTTGGCCAGGGGACACCTTGAGGTGGGCGGAGCTGTAAGTCTAAACCTGAGAAGTTAGGCTGATTATTGTCTTGCTGTGCATGTCCATCACCAGAGACAGCCAATCAGCGACACACACAGACCCGCAGATCAGAGGCCAGAAGGTAGGGAATTTGACAGAAAGTTTCACTGTTAGTACTTGTGCTTACTGAGGGGTTTGAACCTGGTCGGGTCAGGACAGCGAGCTGGACGAGGGGGAGATGTACTGGGCCTTCAGGGCAGAACTGTATCCTTTAGAAGCTGCCTGCTTCCCCATCTGGATTTTTTGCCATCAGGAGCTAACAAATGGAAAGTGTTTGGAACACACAGCTCTTGGCACATGGTAGCCCCTCAGTGAGTGGTCATCTTCCATCCCCCAAAACCATGGGAAAAGTCTGGCCTGTTCAGCTGTGACGAGGGGAACCAGGGAGACAGCCTGGAGGAGGTGGCAGGAGGGTGAACCTGGGGACGTGAGGTCACGTGCCCCATGTGAACGCCAGCCCTCCCCTCCTGCACAGGGCCCGGCCTTCGTTCATCAAGTGAGAGATGGATCCCTCCTCCAGAGATGCCTTCTGCTGAAACCTTTGAGGGTCTTGTGTATTCTTTTCGTAAGAGATACTATTTCTTTGTAGTAATAATAGCTCTTATAGTGCTTTCTACCTGCCAGAACTGTTCTCTCTGCTTCAGCTATAACTAATTTAATCCTCTGAACAGTCCTATGTAGTAGGGGCATTATTGTTCCCATATTACAGATGGAGGAACTGAGTCCCCAAGGGGTTTAGTAAATTGTGCAAGGTCATACGGTGAATAAGTAGTGGAGGCAGGATGGCACTAGACTCCATTCTCTAACCACTGGGCTCTGCCACCTTTCTGGAAAGATCTGGTTCTTTCTCCTTCGCCCTCACTGATACACCATGGGGCCCTGGATAAGTCCCTGCCCCTCTCTGTCTCTACTTCTTTCTCTGGGAAGCTAAAGTCCTGTCGCCTGGGGGCTTCCCAGGGCTGTTGTAAGGCCAAGCTGACTGTCCATATCCACGCACAGGCTACACTGGGACAAAATGGGCCCTGGTGCAGCCTTCTGGAGAGCAGATATCTCGAGGTGGGTGCTCTGCATCTTGCCCCCTAGGGCAGGGCAGGGTGGTCAGTCCTCTCTGAGCCCCACCAGCAGACCCACAGTTGGACTCACAGGCCCCTTGAGGCCTCCTAGGAGGACCGGGGTTGGAGACACTAATGAGGATGCCAGGAGAGAAAACCCTTCCTCTTAAAGTAAACTCACACAGAGAAAATCATAAACTGAGCACGCAATTTGCACCCCGGCCAAGGCCCTCAGAGCTTAAACATATTCTTTTGGGCTATTTATAGTCCTGGAGAAGTTAGAATTTTCTGGGTAATGGGAGCGCTAACAGATTCCAGCTGGTCAGGGTCTGCCAAGGACTGGCAGGGGAAAGAGTGGGAACCATGGAACCTTCTGGTACAGGACTCTGCAGTTCCCAGACCCTCCTCCCTGACCCAGCCTGTGCAGGTGGGACAGGAGACAAGGGCTAGAGAAGAGCCTCTTCACCAAGGGCCATAATAAGGTCTCTCTGTGACCTAAATGGGGGTGAGGCCAGTTGCCCGGGCTCCCCTGCTTCAAGGCTTTCATTTCACAGATGCTGGAAGTGAGGCTCAGAGAGGGGCAGTAATCTGTCCAGTGTCACACAGCTAGTGGGGCCCAGGCAAGCTCTGGTATCCTGCCCCATGCGTCAGCATTCCTGTAGTAAACCTCAGAGCAAGACCTGAGAAGCTGGCTGGAGATGGTCCCTAGCGGGAGACAGTGGGAATTCAACATCCAGTGACCATATAGACAGCCCCAGCGTGGGTTCCTGGGTGGGGAAGGCACATCCTGGGTACTCTGAGAAGAGAGCCCCAACTTACTTCCCTGGCATTCAAGGCTACCAACACCTCTTTTAAATATCTCCCTTGCCCCTTCCTACACAAACTCCCCCTCCTGCTACCCCTAGAACATTCCCAACTCTCATATTCCTCTGTACTCTTGTCCACACTCTTCCCACCTGGATAGCCTTTACCCCACTTTCTCTGATTAAATGCTCCCACCCCTGAAGGCCTCTCAAGTTCCCATTCCTGGTGGCCCTGTGACTTGTCCTCACTCTGAACTCCTTACTGGAGCTGATAGCCCACCCAAGGAGGCCTGGTATAGTAGATCCTGTAGGGTGTCACCCAGATTCACGGTTCAGGATGGATGGAGGCACCCCTTCCTTCTAGCTGCAGGAAACTTAGTGGCTCCCAGCTGAGTCCCTCTGCAGAAATTGCTTTCAGTCAAAGAGCATGGATTCCCCTGAAGTCATGACCCCTTCCCCAGGGCAGTGGATTGGTCCGGGGTATGGAAGCCCTCCCTCCCTTTCCTCTGGCAGGACAATTCTAAGGACCAACCCACTGCAGAGCTTCCTGGCAGATCAGCTGAGGACGTTGTTGCAACTGCACCTCAGTTCAGTTTCTCCCTCTGCCCGTCCTGCTTCCCTTACCCCTCGTAGCGGTTATTCTCAAAAGCTCACTAGTTTCAGGGGGCTCCCCTGGTGGTGCAGTGGTTGAGAATCTTCCTGCTAATGCAGGGGACACGGGTTCGAGCCCTGGTCTGGGGAGATCCCACATGCCGCGGAGCAACTGGGTCCGTGAGCCACAACTACTGAGCCTGCGCGTCTGGAGCCTGTGCTCTGCAACAAGAGAGGCCGCAATAGTGAGAGGCCCGCGCATCGCGATGAAGAGTGGCCCCCGCTTGCCACAATTAGAGAAAGCCCTCGCACAGAAACGAAGACCCAACACAGCAAAAATTAATTAATTAATTAAAACTTTAAAAGCTCGCTAGTTTCCATCTCACAGAATGCTTTCCAGGAAAGCTGGTTTATGACACCTGGTGACAGAATGGTTAAGCAGACAGCCTTGGTTCAAATAGAGATCAACCATGTTTAGCTCCATGACCTGGGCTGAATTCCATAACTTCTCTGACAATTGTTCTATCTGTTAAGTGGGAATAATGCTGAGGCATTACTTCCTATCTGCTGAAGGTTTATAAGGATTAAATGAGATGATGTATGCATGGTACTGGATATTGAGAAAGGACTTAATGGGCATTAGCTATTATAATTTACATTTAACTTCTCTGAGGTTCGGGTAAACAGGGATAGGATATTATTGTCTGCGTCAGGGGGTTGCTGGTGAGAATCAAATAAGATTGGTTGAGAGGCAGAGGGTTAAATTCCATGCTGCTGTGACCTAATACAGATTCAGGGGTCAAGTTTCCTGAGGGCTTTGCCCATCCTAGAGCTGTGGTCTGGAGGCCTGACCCCTCCCCCAAATAGTGAGGATCACCGTATTGCTTTCCTATCACTGCTGTAACAAATTAGCACATTAGTGGCTTCAAACAAAACAAATGTACTGTCTTACATTTCTGTGGGTCAGGAGTCTGGTATGGGTCTCACAGGACTAAAGTCAAGGTGTCAGCAGGCTGTGTTCCTTTCTGGAGGTTCTAGGGGTGAATCTGTTTTCTGCTCATTTGGATTGTTGGCAGAATTCAGTTCCTAGGGTTGTGGGACTGAGGTCCCCGTTTTCTTGCTGGCTATAAAATGAGGCCTCTGGCTTCTAGAGGCCACTGCATTATTTGGCTTGTGGCGCCCTTCCTCCATCTTCAAAGTCAGTGCAGGCAGATGGAGGACTTCTCGAGGCTACCTTTTTGGTCATCTTCTATTCATAAGGACACTTGTGATTTGGGCCCACCTGGTTAATCCAAGACACTTCCTCTGTCTTAAGGTCCTTAGTCACGCCTGCAAAGTCCTTTTTGCCACGTGAGGTAACATATTCACAGGTTCCAGTGATTAGAACATGGTGGGGGGGAGGCGGGGGTGGGCATTATTCTACCTGCCACAACCACCCAGCATGGGGCAACCTCTGACCCAAAATTCCCCTCCTCCTTTTCTAGGGGGAGGTCTGTGCAGTTCCCTGTGCAGCAGGGACCTACGGCCCCAACTGCTCATCCATCTGTAGCTGTAACAGCGGTGGCACCTGCTCCCCAGTAGATGGCTCCTGCACCTGCAAGGAGGGTAATGTGCCTTCTTTCCCAATCCCATCCCCTCAGATGTGCACAGTGCCCAGGTGGGCTGCCAGCTGAGGGGTCTGGGCTGCTCCTGCCCCACCCACCCACATGCAGGGTCGGGGAGCCTATATGTCAGGTTCCAGCCAAGGAGACCCACGCCAGGGACTTCAACAGCAGGAATGTAATAAAGGGGATTTGTTACCACAGTGTTAGAAGAGCTGAAAGGACTTACAAGGGAACATGAGCAACCCAGAAAGTAGTAGCTTCTCCCACAGTTGCTACCACTTCCAGGGTGAAAGGGACAAAGGGAGGAAGTGGAGTTCCCAGAGCCTGGGAGTGAGGGCCATCTGGTGGGAGCTGGGATGTGGGCAGAGGGGCTGCAAGATGGTGCTGGAGCACTGAGACACAGCCACCACCAGAGGCCCTGCTCATAGCAGAGAAGGAAGAGGAGATACCTGGCATCTCTCCTGCTCCCGCCCTCCCATCACCAGCCAGGTCTCCCACTGGCAAGCCCATCTGGGAGCAGCTGCAGGAGTCAGCCCCCTGGGATACAGAACAGAGCAGGGGAAGGGGAGAAATGGATCTGAGGGCAGACAAGCCAGTAACCAGCCTCAGAATGGGAAATCAGCCTATCACCAAAACACAGGGCCCTGAGATAAGTTTCCTGAGTATACCCTTGGCACAGATAGCCCTCTCCGCCTCCACTGGTTCCCTGTCCCAGGTGGGATCACCCACCTATGGCAAAAACAGTGAGAACCGGGAGGCAGGAGACCCAGGTTCTAGCCCCCGCTCTCTCAACAGCCTTGCTGTGTTTCTGAGTGGACTCCGAATGTGGAATGTGTGTTCTAACCTAGCAATCAGAGAAGGGGTGGTTTGGGTATGATGCCTTGTACAGAGCTGGGGGGAGTGGGCAGAAAGCCATGCTGGGCCTAGATGGAGAGGTGACAGCCTTGTTCCCTCCCCTCAGGGTGGCAGGGCCTCGACTGCACCCTGCCGTGTCCCAGTGGGACGTGGGGCCTGAACTGCAACGAGAGCTGCACCTGTGCCAATGGAGCGGCCTGCAGCCCCACCGATGGTTCCTGCTTCTGCACCCCTGGCTGGCTGGGGGACAACTGCGAACTGCCCTGCCCGGTGAGTGTGGGGCGGGGAAGGACAGGGTGGGCCCATCAGCCCCCCATGCCCTTTCCCTGTAGTTTTTTTTGTCCACAGAGGTGCACAGAGAAGAGCACTGGACCAGGTTGTGGGACACTTGGATTCAGGTCTCAGCCCTAGCTCTAACCTCTCTGTCCTACTTCTGGCCTCAGCCCTCTCATCTATAAAATGACAGATACTTAGCAGATACGGTGATGTGGCCTCACTTTCCCCTGGGTGCTCTTGGGAAACATTATTGACTCTGGCACATTTACCTGAGCCCAGATGCAGCTTCAGAATCCTTCTTGACACAGTGCTACAGGACAGCTCTTACTAATCCATCAGAGTTTCCATTCCTTGATAATAACGTCTAAGCTTCTTTCTGGTTCCAACAGTCTATAATTTTATGATCAAGATTGGGAGGACTAAACCAAGCATTATCCAGTAATAACCCACCTAGACTTAATCCCTGGATCTTAGTCTAAGATACAAGTTAAGTTAAACCAACTGATAGGATATTGTTGAATGAATCCTACAATCCTGGGTTCCAGTCCTGCCTTTGCCTCATCCTAGCCGTGTTACCTGGAGCATGTTACTTCACCTCATCTTTAAATTTTGCATATAATGGAACCATCTCATAGAGTCGTTGTGAAGATTAAGAGAAATGAATTATATGAGACTCTTGATACCTGATGGGCACACAACAAATGTTGACCGCCACCTTCTTACCCACAAAGAAAAAATCATAGTCATTCCTCACATGTGATCAATGTTTAAAAATTTGCAAGGTGCATTTTCATTTACAATTTTAATTAATGATCATTACAGCTCTCTGAGCTTGACCATTGAGAGGTAGGGCAGGACCAACACCTCCCTCCTTCCAAACTGCATACTCTTCGTAATGCAGCCAAAGAATTATTTGGAGTGGCTTCACTGGATCCCCAGTTATAAAAAGTGCCTCCACAGTGCTCCAGCCCCAGTTTCTCTTCATCCTTGTTGGGCAGTGGCTCAGTTTTGTCATCAACATCCAAAAGAAGTGTGAGAACCTCTGAGGGTCTAGGTCTCGTCATTTCTCTCTCCCCCTTCTCTCCACAGGATGGCACATTTGGGCTGAACTGCAGTGAGCGTTGTGACTGCAGCCACGCCGATGGCTGCGATCCCGTCACAGGCCACTGCTGCTGCCTAGCCGGATGGACAGGTAACCCCCTCTGCCATGCCACCATCCTGGCCCTGTGAAACTGAGCTCTTGGTATTCTCCTGCTTCTCTTGACTGTTCCTTCATTTTTTCCTTCACCTTTTCTTCTTCTTGCTTCCTACATATGCACCTTTTCTTTATATCCTCTGGGCTTCAGTTCTCCATTTCATTCCCTTTGAGTAAACAAATATTAATTGAACACCTAGTATGTGCAGGCTCTGTTCTAAGGGCTAGGGACAGACCAGTTTTAAAAAAATGCAGACAGAGGTGTGGGTGCTCAACCTGTGTTTGCAGAGGATATGGTGGAGAGGCGGACAGGGAACTTTCTCCTTAGCCCAGGCTCAGACTCCTGGCCCCTACATGTGTCCTGGCAGCTCATCTCCTAAATAGATGGCAAATCCATTTCTCACCAGCCACTGCCACCACCCTCGTCCACTGAGCACCATCCCTCAGCAGGCACTGCCTCGGTCTCCCGTTTTTCCGTGGGCCTCCCCTCTTGCACAGCTGCATCCACTCTGCACATGGTGGCCAGATCCGTTCACATCAGTTCCTGCTCAGGATGCCTCCATGGCTTCCCAAGACACTGATCCAAAATCCTTACAGTGATCTGGGGTCCACATGGCCCTGTAAGGCCCTGCCCAACTTCTCCACCTCTCTTTTGTGCCCTCCCATCACTCACTTCACTCCACCACCTGGGCCAACCACCCTCCCTGACTCCAGGCCTCAAATGTGCATTCCCTCTGCCTAGATCACTCTTTCCCCTTCTCTTCACCTAATAACACCTTCTCATCCATCATATTTCGACGTAAAGATGACTTCCTCTGGGAAGGCTCTCTCCCCCTGATACTACCACCTCCCCAACCTGGCCAAGACTATGAAAGAGCCCCTTTAATTAATTCTCACAGCATTTTGCTGTACTTACTTCAATTGTCACTGAACTCTGATTTGAGTAACGATTTGTTTATTATCTGCCTCCCACCTTGACCATCAGTTCTGTGGAGGCAGGGGCCACATCTGCCTTGTTCACCACTGTATCTACTGCCTGCCACACACTGAGAAATGGTTAAGAACACAGAGCTGGCACCAGACCTCCTTGGGCAAGTCCTTTACCCTCTCAGGGCCTGAATCCTCCATCCATAAAATGCAGATAATTATAATCCTTATAACTACAAGATCATTTTGAAGTTTAGATGAGTTAATAATACCTGTAAGCGCTAACAGTGCCTGGCACGTAATAGGTGCTCAGTAAGTGTAAGCCACAAATACAGTGTTAATGTTATGTGAATGAACCCACTGGCCATTCCCAAAGTGGTGGACAGCAAGGAGAAAGAAATACAGGCATTGCTGGCAGTGTAGGTCCTCACGTGAATAATTCACACCAGGCTGCTGGGCAACCTGTGTTCTCCGCAACCAGAAAGTTTCTGAGCAGCTGAGGGCTGGGGACATTGCTTCCTCTGTAGCATCTCCGACCTGACTCCCTTGCCCTGCCGCTTAGTACAGAGCTAGGCTCCACACTGGTTACTGGCACCCTAGACTCTTAGCTGGAGCCAAATGGAAATCCATTTTAATTTTTCATTGCCTTAATTTCGAGTGAACCGATAAGATTTCAATGACATCTGGTGCTTAAAAATTATGTCTTTGATGGACAACCTTTCAGCAAGGTCTCTGCTGTTCTAAAACTAATTTCCCCAAGCGTGGTCCTGAAGTCGTTTCAAAGGAGCAATTGATGTCCTGAGATTTGTCAAGCAGAAGGAAACCAAGGAAAGACAGTGAGGGTGCAGGGTAAAGGCCCCAGCCCCCTGCTCGGCAAGCCCTCCCCACCCACTGCTGACTACTGAGCCCCTGGCATGTTGCTTGTGCCTAGGCTCAACACTTGTTTCTCTTTGCTCTAAGCATGTACATGTCTTCTCCCCTTGCCCCCCTTAGCCACACACTTCTTGACTGGCATGATATCTAATTCACCTTGCCCTGCACATAGTAGGTGCTTACTCAGTGTTTATTGAAATAAATTGAAAGAAGCTGGCCTATAACCATGTATGGCCTTTCCCCTTGAAGTGAAGGAGACCTTGACGATGTTCCGCTCCAACCTCCTATGCTACAGATGAGGAAAGGGAGCTGCCCAAGGTCTCAGGACATTAGTGCCAACAGGATGGGAGACACTGGATTGCATTGTAAAGGGGAACCATTTATTCATTCAGCTAGCATTTATTGACTCGAGCCATCACCGAGTCTTTATTTGGCAGCTACCATGTGCCCGGCACTGTGCTAGGCCCAGCAGTAAATGGCAAAATTCAACAGCAATAGCCCCTGGGCACCTACTGTGTGCCAGACACTGTCCTGGGTACTAGAGATGCAAAAATGACCAAGATCATTTCCCTGCCCATTAGGAGCACCTGGATAAAGAGAGAAGTGTCAAGAAGCCATAGTCCCTGTCTTCACAGGACACATATATATGAAATATTCAAATGATAGGGACAAAGTTGTATGCCACTATCAAATAGATGCTTGAATCCCTAGGCAGACATTCAGGAAGACTTCCTGGAGAAGGAAGACCCCAAAACCCAAAACAGTCCCTGAAGGATGTGGGCTGCTGAATTGCTGCTAGCCTTGTGACATGAACTAGAGGTCACAATATATAGATTCTTAGCCTAGCTTTACCCACCAGTGTGGATGTGTAGGGGGCCCTGAAAGATAAAGCAAAGAGATTCCCTAAGGGTAAGAATGGGAAGGACCCCTAGGGGGGATTATTATCCCCATTCAACAATAGGGAAAACAGGGCCTAGAGAAGGCAACTAACTGATGATGCCACTCCTCTTCAGAAGCTGTAGTTTGACCTCCCTTTAGGCCAAGGTCAAGCCCTTTGACCGCACTGGTGCAACTGGCTTTTCCACGCAAGGGGAAACCCTGGACCCTTCTCTCCACTTAGATGCCAATGTCTTAAGTTCCAGGGAGCTCTTAGGACATATAACAGCCTCAAACAGGAGCCCCACACCCACAGAACCAGGCCTAGACTAGAATAATTGGCAGATCCTAGAACCCAGTGGGCCCTTGCAGCCATCTGCAATCTGAGCATAATCACCTTACACCTGTGGTTCTTAATCTCCAAAAAAGAGGACACCTGTTTTGTTTTGTTTTGTTTTTTTGCGGTACGCAGGCCTCTCACTGTTGTGGCCTCTCCCGTTGCGGAGCACAGGCTCCAGACGCGCAGGCTCAGCGGCTCACGGGCCCAGCCGCTCCGCGGCATGTGGGATCTTCCCAGACTGGGGCACGAACCCGTGACCCGTGCGTCGGCAGGCGGACTCTCAACCACTGCGCCACCAGGGAAGCGCGAGGACACCTTTTTGACATGAAAACATTTGGAGGATCCCACACATGAGAGTAGCTGTACTTTTAACATCCACTGATTTGGGGGAAAACATGATAGCAACAAGCTGCCATGAATTCTGGGGTGTTTTGCATGCATTGTGTTTTATTAATCACAGTAATATCTGCATACAGTTTTAGGGAAAAGCCTACAACTATGGGAAAGAGCCTTGGGCAGCCTAGCCAAGCGTGCTTGCTGCACAGGAGGGATTGGAGGCCCCCGTCAGACAGTGGAGCTCCTCCATAGTCCAGCGCGCCTCCCAAGAGCAGCAGGGTCCCTCGGCCTGCAGTCTGAACAGGTTGTTTTCAACCACCACAGGCCAGAGAATTCCTTGGGGCAGATCATGGCTTTTGGTTTTAAGCAGCTTTGTGGTTTCCCTCGCCCCAGGCTCCCCTTCGGTCCGTCCGTGTTGCTTGTCCGGGCTTCACCTCTTGTGCACCTGAAACTCCACTGGGAGAGACCTCCATTGAGGAGGAAATGTGACCACCAGATTCTCACTGGGGAAAGACTGTATTCCCAGGAAGAAGCTCCCCGCACCCCATTCCCTCCATTCAGAGGCCTATTTCCTGCAGAGTGGCATCTGAAGCCTCCACCCTGCTGCAGAATTGAGCTGTCACAGGGAGGGAGGCCCAGGGAGGAAGCACGGGCTAGACTGAGGTGCTGGAGGAGAGTGAAGCCTGTTGCATCCCCTCCCTCTCCACTCTCTCCCCTGTTCTGCCCCCTCGCCTTTCCCCACCCACCCAGGTAAGCTTGTATAATTCCAGCCTGCCTCTAAACTGGTCCCACCGCTCTCCTGCTGCTGCTAGGACCGGCTCTGTTCACTAAGCCTGAATGTCTTCCTCCCTCTTTCTTTTTCTTTCTCACGATCCCTTTCCTTATAACAAGGCAGACGTGCTTTTTAAACTAATTCTGCTCCTCTCTGAGCCTCTGATATTCACCTTCCAAAGCCAAATTGGTCTCCTGGGTCCCCACGGTCCATTCACCTTACGCGTGGTGGACTAGAAGCCTTTCTGCCTGGGAGGAAACCCCACGCCAGAGCTGGGCATCCAGCCTCAGGCCTTTAAAAATTCTTCTCAGCCTTCAAGCTGTAATCACCCCAACACATATTTCCTTTCTCTCAGCTCAAAAAGACCATGTAGACCTTGCTCCTCTTTCTTTTTGACAGATTCCATCCCTTCCCGCATAGGCCACTGTATGTCAAACTGAAGGTCATTAAATCAATTTTTTGGGTCACAACTAGCTTTTTTTTTTTCTTAAGGACATAGAATACATCATAGTGCAGGGAAAACATCAGATTGCATCACAGTGACAGTAAATGTCATTTGCAAAATGTTGGTTTCTATTATACATGTGTGTGCACGTTTGATATAAAATACATATTGCACTGAGGACTGTGGTCAAAAGAATCTGAAAAGACCCCACCCACTCTCTAAGCCACTGCCCAGGGGCTGGTTGGCTGGGGCCCAGCAAGGATTGGTGGCTCCTGGGCTAACGTGGGTGGGCAGGTAACTCACTCCCAGCTCATGTAGCCCCTATAATGGCACTCACTTGCTGCACTAACCTTGGATTCCAGCTAAGATGTCAAAGACAAAGGAAGCCCTTCATGATCTGATCCCTTCTGATTCCCACAATCTCACCTCTTGCCGTATCCCATCTGGTACTTTATGGTTCAACCACACTATGCTGTTTTATCTTTCAAGGCGTGATTCTCTCTCCTGCCTCCTGCTCTTTGCACATAGGGTTTCCTTTATCTGGTCAATTCCTCCTTGGTCTTTAGGACTCAGTTCAGGCATCGCCTCTTCCTGGAAGCCCTCCCTGACCAGCCAAGCTTCTCTGTTTTTCTCCTCCGTATTCCCAGATGTACTGTGTTTGCCTCCACCTCTTCTTACTGCATAGTACCCCCCCCATTCTTCCTTTCACCCTCGCCCCTTACCACTGACCTGAGTATGCCTCTGGCCCACAGGCATCCACTGTGACAGCACGTGTCCGCCCGGTCACTGGGGCCCCAACTGCTCTGTGTCCTGCAGCTGCGAGAACGGCGGTTCCTGCTCCCCAGAGGATGGGAGCTGCGAGTGTGCCCCGGGCTTCCGAGGACCCTTATGCCAGAGAAGTAAGGCTGAGACCCTACCCCTCAGACCTCGGACAGCTCATCCTCCCCAGCCTTCCCAGCTGGAACTAGGACTGGCCTGAGAGAGGCTGGGCTTACACAGTCAGTCCCCATCAAGTCCCTCCCTCTAATCCCCTTTCTCCTGGCCCTGACTTTTCTGTCCCCAAGTTCAGGGCCTGGCCTGGCTCCCCAGTAGAAACAGGACCAGACCACAACTCCTCTCTGTAGAAAGGGACGGGCCCTCCCAGGTGTGGGGCAGACGCGACTCTCCCCACGCTTCTGAGAAGCCTCTCTTCATCGCTGTGTGGGACTGGACAAGTAGCCAGGCTGGCTGGGGCCCCTTGGGCTGCTGACCACCCTCTCCCCTTCACCCCCAGTCTGCGCCCCTGGGTTCTATGGCCACAGCTGCGCCCAGCCGTGCCCCCTCTGCGTGCACAGCAGCGGGCCCTGCCATCACGCCAGCGGCATCTGTGAGTGCCTCCCCGGATTCTCCGGAACCCTCTGCAACCAAGGTACTGTTTCCAGGGGGAAGGAGTGTGGACCAGCGAGACGAGGAGTCCCAGGAGGGAAGTAGCAGGGAAGGAAGGTTCAGGATTCTCATCATGCTCTGTGGAGGCAGCTCCTTGGCTCTTCAGGGCTTAGACCTACCTTAATAAGAATTGGACACACCACGGGGTGTGAGACAAAGCCATTATGCAGTTGAAGGAACAGGCTCAGAGAGGTTAAATGACTTCTCCATGGTCTCACAGCTAGAAGCGGCAGAGCTGAGAAACAAATTCTGACTCCAAAGCCCAGTCTAAGCGGATAAAAATTGAAACAAGCGTAGATGAGGTCCACATATGAAGTGACCCCAAATGGCTTGTGCTGAGTGCCAAGTGGGAAAGGCAGAGAGCACTGTGGGAGCTCAGAGGAGACAGTTCTGGCTTCCCTGGAGATGGCAACTTCCCAGCCCTTCTCCCCTCACACTCAGGCCAACACTCATCCCTCACCACACGCTTTCCTGTCTCAGCTGCAGAATCCACAGCACCAACTCCAGCCAACTCTTCCACTCAACGGGAGTTGAAAAGGGAGATAAAGCTTATTGAATTGGTGTGCTGCTAAACTGGCTCTCTGGGGGGGGGGGGGGGGAAAGCCCTAATCTGTATCATTTGCAAATTTCCATGCTGTAGATATTCCCACCATGGATGATTCTAAGGTACCGGTTTAACACCGGTCGTGAAATTCCCGAATATTTAATAGCCAGTGTGAAGGTAGAAGCTGGCTCCGTTGCACACCATTGCTTACTGCTGTCCCTGGCTTAGTTAGGCCAAGGCAGGGTGGATTTGGGGGATGGCTCTGTGCCGTGTAGGACTTCAGCTGGGCCTTAGCCTAAAAGGCAGAGATGGAAGAAAGTCATTGTGGGTAGAGGAACCAATCTGGGCAAAGCACAGAGGCGTGCATATGCGACTATCCAGCCATAGGGAATGGCAGGAGGATGCAGGGGCTGTGGATGGCAAAGGGGACTGAGAAGGTAGTCTGGGGACTCCTGGAAAGTTTTGAAGACAAGGTTGCAGAATTTGTACTTTAACCTGTAAGGAGTGAAAGGATCTTAGTCTAAGGTAAACTTAGAGCTAAAAGCAACTTCAAGGTCATCTGTGAGAGTCTCATCTGGCCTCTGCTTAAATACTTCCTCTGAGAGCTCACTGCCTCCCAGGGGACTGGATTCTTTTGATGAATAATGACCACTGAGCTCGGCTATTTTTCTAAGTGTGTGGGCCATTAATATGTATGAGTGGAAAGTTAACTCCATGATGCTTTGAGGTCATGAGAAGTTTGGACCCCAGGGAAACATACGTGACAGTTTCATTTGCTTGCAGTCCTCCTAGGACAGTTTAATCATAACCTGACGTGTCGAGGTTTACTTATTAAACAATCGGAGACCCAGCTGTCAATACAGAAAGGCCAGGTCTAAATTAGGACCTAAGCAGCCCGAGGAGTAACTCTCACATCCTGTAATGTCTGATTTATCGCCCGCTGGCCTAATGAGTATTTTCCACACATAGATCTAACAGAGTTTGCTATTAATGGCAACTGCCCTGGTTAAGTCTCAAACCTTGTAAAAAATTGAACTGACGCTTTCTAATGACTGGCTTTCCAGCAAGTTACAAATTACAGACACTGCTTATGCAGAATCATTAAACATAGATTAAATACAACCAGATGTTTTCTTTTCACCAGTCCCCCTTCTCTCCACCACCCTCTCTTTGCCTCACTCTTGATTCAGCTAAGAAGTTAACCAATTAATGTATTAGACTGATCACATTAGCAGCTCTGTGGGTGAATTTGTCAGCCTTGCATATGTGAGAAAGACTTCAAAGATAAGACTGTCTTGTTAGAGAAGCTCAGAGTTGGTTTTAGGATGGGTGTCAGTGGAGCATCTCTGGCACCCGGCTCCCCACAGAGGGCCAGGACTAGGGGATGGGTTCCCCACATCATGTACCTCCCAGAGGCAGGGAAGAGCATGCTGGGTGACCTGCTTTTCAGGAAGCCAAAGCTGGAGGCTGAGCTGCAAACAGGTGAGATGCATGTCATCCTCCTGGCAGTGGACCTGCCCTGGAAGGAGCTAAGGTTTTTGCTAGGGAAGGGCACAGGGCCCGAATCGGCCATCGTGCCCATAACCGTTAACTATAGCCCAAGGCCAGTGGGTGAGGGTTATCAGTCCCATTTCAAAGATGAGGAAACAGAGACTGAGAGGGGTGATGTGGTTTGCTTGGAGGTACTTAGCCAGTGAGTGGCAGAGCTCCCTGGCTGTGTGACCTTGGGCAAGTTACTTAACCCCTCAGTCCCTCAGTTTCCTCATCTGTAGAGTTAGTAATAATGAAAATATGTAATAATGAGAGTATTACAAGGTTAATTAAACTAATATTTGTGAAGCATTCTGAACAGTGGTACATAAAAGTGCCATAGAAGTGTTTGTTGAATACATAAATAAAACTAGTACCCAAACCCAAGGCTTTGGGCTAGAGAGCCTGGTATTGTTTGTCTCAATTGCTAATCATGTCCAGGAGAGGCACAGAGTGGCCACAGATCCAGGTGCCCACCATCCAGTTGGGGAAGGGCTGACAATATGAGGCAGTGTGGCCTAAGGGAGGGGTGCCAGCCCAAATTTCAAGAGACGTGGGCCTGGGGAAGTTGCTTTTCTTTAAGAATCAACACCTTCCCCTGATGCTCAGTGTGGCTCAGCCAAATGAGGGCCTCAGGGATTCAAGGACTTCCTCCCCCATAACAGAAATGCAAGGAGGCCATCTTGGAGGGTGTAGGGCCAGCTGGAACTGGGCTTTGAGGGGAGCGTGTCAAACTGAGAGGAGCTCGAAGGGACAGGGGTCACTGATTCCAGCAGAACCCACTGGAACGTCACTGCTCCTGGGGCCAGTTTTGGCCATTTGGGGAATAGTTCCTGAGTGTTTGTTGTACGCCATGCACTGTGCTGGGCACTCAGACACAACAAAGAACAAGAGAGCCAAGTTCCCTGCCCTCATAAAGCCTGCAGTCCAGAGGAGAAAATTCTGAGCTCAGCCTTTCCCAGCAGAACTTGGGGGCTGGGGTGGGGGGAGAAGGGGCAGCAGTTTATGTCCACAAATTCAGCCACCGTGCCTTGAGCACCTGTTGTTTTTCCAGGCATTGTGGGTGTACAGACACGGGTGGAACCCAGGCCTGGCCTGAAACGGCTCACAAGCCACGGTAACAGAAGACCAGGGAAGAAACCAATAGAGGGTCCTAGAAGCTCAAACAGGGACATAGCCTCCCAGAACAGAGAAGAGGGGTGAATCTGTTAGGATTAAGTTCAGCTATAAGTAACATAAAAACCCAAAATAACTGACTTGAAGATGACAAGCTTTGTGTCCCTCACACATTTACAAAAAAACCAAAAAGATAAAAAGAAAGAAAAGCAAAGATCCAGAAGTAGGCCACTAGGGAGTGGTAGGGTAGCTTACATAGATGTCAGGGACCCAGGCTCCTTCTAGCTTGTTGTTCTGCCATCCTCAGCACATGGCTTCCACCTCTGAGGAAAGGTAGCTGCTTGAGCTCCAGCTATCTTACCCACAATTCTCATCCATAATCCACATTATTCTTCAACAGGAAGGATGAATGGGCAAATAAAGACATGCATTTCCACTTACCATTGGTCAGAATGTAGTCACGTGGTCATACCTCGCTGTGCAGGTGGACATACGCCCAGTTAAAACTACTTCTAAGGAAGAAGAGAATTGATATTGAAGGACTAGCTGTCTACTACAGAGGGATCATCGGGGAGGTGGTTCTTAAGATGTGTCTTGTAGGCAGGGTAGGATTTCCACAGCTGGGCATGAGGGTCAGGGAAATTCTGGGAGGGAACAGCTGGAGTGAAAGCACAGAGGAGGAAAGGCATGGGGTGTTATTTGGAAAGTGGTGTGTGGTCCAGTGTCTGGGTGATGAGGTATGTTTAAGTGCTGATCTCTAGGATCTAGGTTTTATTCTAGGGCACTAGGGTGCCACTGAGGATGTTTGAGCAGGGCATAGGAGTGCCATGAAGAGAGCTGTGCTTTAGAGAGCTCAGGCTGTAGGAAGCAGGTGGAAGATGAATTGAGAGGGAATTGAGAGGGAGGTGCTCGGTGAACACTCGTATCTAGTCCTCAAGGAGCTTGCAGCTTTGTTGAGGAAACCAGCCCTTCCTCCAGGAGCCAAGGAATGACTCCTCCAGGAGGGGCCGGGATCAAAATCCTACAAAGGACTCAAGGTGGAAATACCATGGGAGCTCAGTGGAAGAGAGCACCTTGTGGACCCAGGAGAGCTCTCCTGGGGAGGAGGCTGAACTGAGGCTCAAGGAACAGGTTGGATTTGGAGAGACAGGAAACAGGGGGACAGGGATAGACATTCGGGGCTGGTCCTCCAGCCATCTAACTGCAGACAGACCTGCCACCCTGCATTTGTCCCTCTCCTTCCAGCTGTAAACATTCCCTGCCCTCGCAGTTGTGAGATCAGTGATGCTGACACAAGTGTGGTAATGGAAAGCAGAAGGCTTCGGGGCAGTGCAGGGACCACTGGACTGAGTGCAGAGGTGGGATTCCCAGCCTCACCACTTCTGTCTGTGAGACCTAAGTCAAGTGATTCTACCCCTATGGGCCTCAGTTCGTTCCTGTCAGAGGGAATCATTACTAGAGGCTCCCGAAGAATGCAGCTGTGGACACAAGAGGGGGAACTCATTGATGTGGAAATGGAGAAGGGTGATGGGGGTGCTGAGGTGGGCAGTTCCCACCCAGATCCGTGACCCCAGGTGGCCATGGCTGTGGCCTGGGAACTTCTGGGGGTGTAGCTGTGGGTGGTGGTCTGAGGAGTACAAGTGGGAGGGCAGGTGCCAGGCTGTCCTGTGCCCACAGTGTGTGCTGGAGGGCACTTTGGGCAGGACTGTGCCCAGCTCTGCTCCTGTGCCAACAACGGGACCTGCAGCCCCATCGATGGCTCCTGTCAGTGCTTCCCTGGATGGATTGGCAAGGACTGCTCACAGGGTAAGCTGCTGCCCTCTGGGAATGCTCCCCCCGGAATGCCCGCGACCATGGTCGGGCCCAGAAACACCCACTCCCTGCCCAGAACCTCTCTGCCCCTGGTGCTTCTACCTCCCAGGGCTGAAATCTCCTGCAGATAGGAATGTCCACCTGAGTCCCATATAGTCTCTATAGCTAACGTGATGAAGTACTAGGATTGATCACTAGCATTATTAACTGTTAGTATTAAAGATATGGGCGTTATTGGTAATATCATTAATACTATGAACGCTGAGTATTAATACTCCTAGCATCTGATCAAGGAGTAGCCCCTAAGTTTGGATGGGGAGGAAGAGGGAGTAGGGAAGTGAGGGGAGGCCCGGGCAGTTGCCTCACAAGGGTGTCCTCTGGGTGGCTCATGTGACTGATGTCCTGGGCATCATAGGCCTGGGCAGAACATTGTAGGGGCTGTTCCTATAAGGTGAACCCAATCTGATACAGAGGTAACAAGGACCCCCAATCTAAAGGCAGAGACTCAGCCTCTGCCCTGTGGAGTCCTTAGCTGATGGGTGAGACCCAGCCAGTACCCCTAGGACGGTCCCAGTTAAGATGCCCTGGCCCAGGACTTCCCTGGTGGTCTAGTGGTTAAGATGCTGCACTTCCACTGCAGGGGGCAAGGGTTTGATCTCTGCTCAGGGAACTAGGATCCTGCATGCCAGGCAGTGGCCAAAACAAACAAAAAAACTGGCCTGAAGGCATTTCCATTCTGATGGAGGAGACACCCCTGCTATCCTCCGGGAGCTCATTAGCTCCCTGAGAAGAAATAAGTCCCTACCCTGGGAAAGTCCCCCCCCACCCCATCCTCATGAGAAAGTTAGTACACACAGTATTCACACCGTAAACCGCAGTGTTTACAGTTTACCACACGCTCCAAATCACAGTCATTCCCCTAAGAGGGAAGGTTCAGAAGCCCTCAGAACTGGGAGGGTGGGCAGAGAATCCGGGCTTAATGGGAATCCTGGGTGATTGGGTCAAGAGGTGAGTGGAGGAATTCTGGGAACAGTGGTTAAGCCCCATGAAAGCCAGGAAATGCCACCCGGGGGCATCCTGGCTGACATGCACTCCCCCTTCCTCTCCCTCCCTCTCCCTCCCTCTCCGTCTGCCCCTCTCTGACTGGCCCTCACCCTCGGCATCCCACCCACGCCCAGCTTGCCCACCTGGGTTCTGGGGCCCCGCCTGCTTCCACACATGCAGCTGCCACAACGGGGCGAGCTGTAGCGCCGAGGATGGGGCCTGCCACTGCACCCCTGGTTGGACCGGACTCTTCTGCACGCAGCGTAAGCCCCGCCTCCCAGCCATTTGGAATCCCATGCTGCGGCCTGCTGGCTGCCGTGGGCATCGTCTGGACATGCAGTGGAGGGAGGGAGGAGGCAGGCCCCACGGCTCGGAGCTATCCACCCCCACCACCCACCCCTGGGGTTGAAGAGTCTGGCCGGACTCAGGGGGTTGAGGCGCCCAAAGTCCTGGAAGGCCAGGGCTATCGGGTACCCCAGCAATCACCAAGACCAGACCCTCCTTGGACAGGGGGCCCAGCGTGAGGAGGAGCAGCCTGTGGTTGCACAGCAAAGAGACATCAGCCTGGCCTCTGGTTCCAAGGTACCCTTGTCCAAAGGACTCCCTGCCTCTTCAGCGTGAGGGTTCCGAGCGTGGAGCGTGCAGGGTGTCGTGGAGCGTGCAGGGTGTCGCTAGTCCTCACCCCATGCTCAGAGAAAGAAGGGGCAGGAGGCAGGTTTGGTCCCAACTGCACCTCAGCAGTTGCCCCCGCCCTGTTTCTCTTCAGGCTGCCCAGCAGCGTTTTATGGGAAGGACTGCGGGCATGTGTGCCAGTGTCAGAATGGTGCCAGCTGTGACCACATCAGCGGCAAGTGTACCTGCCGCACGGGCTTCACCGGGCGACACTGTGAGCAGAGTAAGCTGTCCCGACCCCTGACCCTGGTGTCAATGCCAGGCCTCAGCCTCCTGCAGGGGAAGCCGCCCCCTTTGAGGCCCACCCATCAGGGCCCTGCACCGCCTGCTCCCTTGACTTTTGGAGCAACTCCCAAGGAGAAAACCTGAAGGTTGGGCCTACGTTGGCTTAAGAGTTTCTTCCTTCAGTGGGGGTGGGGATGGGGCATGTGGAGGCAGAGCAGAGCCTTTGCTGGGGGAGGAGCTTAGCGAGAGTAGAGGGAGACAGATCTTGTTTGATTGATCTTTGAAGCCCCCGTGGCACCCGGCTCAGGGCCTGACACACGGAAGATGCTGTGTAAATATAGACCAGGTGAGGAGGAGGTAGGGGTGGGTGTTCCCCCACTCAGGGTTATAGGTGTTCTGTCTAGCCCCAAGTAGCAAACCAAAGCACATCAGGAGCTACAGAGAAAGAGCCTTCGCTCTGTGAGGCAGAACTAATCCTCACAGCTGCCCACGTAAGGGATGGGAGGGGTGGAGAGTGGGCGTACCTCACGGTCGACTCCGATTCTCTTCATGCTACACAGGATGTGCCCCAGGAACCTTTGGCTATGGGTGTCAGCAGCTATGTGAGTGCATGAACAATGCCACCTGTGACCATGTCACAGGCACCTGCTATTGCAGCTCTGGATTCAAAGGGATCAGGTGTGACCAAGGTAATACACAGATGGCAGAGTCCCCGGGGAAGGGGGCTATAGAAAGGGCCCCATGGGGCAGGCTCTAGGGAGTAGCTAATGGGACTGACTGAATTTTATAAGGACACTCTGTGACTTCCTTTTATTCACATTGGGAGGAGAGTGGGAGTGGAATGGGGGGGGGGGCTGAGGAGGGGGAGGCTCCAGGCACTGGAGAGGCAGATGGAGAAGGCGGCCTCTCAGGCACCACTTCCCTCTGCTCATCCTTGGCAAGTTTCGTGAGCCAAGGAAGGATGACGGCAAGCCAGTGCTGTGGAAGGGTCAGCAGACCGAGTCGGAAGATCTGCCATTACCTGCTAGGTGTCCTTGGGCCGGTCATTTCCTTTTGCTGGGTCTGTTACTCCACATGTGGAAAGACACAAGGTTCTGCTGAGAGCCAAGGAGCCCAAAGGGGCTCAACCTTGGCTCCAGGTCTATAGTCAGACAAGACCGCATAGTGCTGTTGTGAAGACCAAGTTAAGATAATGTGAGTAAAGGACTCAGCACAGTGCCTGGCACATCAAGTGAGCACTCGATAAATGGTTTTTGCTGTTGGCTGTAGGAGATAGGGATGAGAATGGGCACCCAAGCGTCCACAGTACAGAAAAGGGGCCAAGACATTTCCACTGCATTCTGACGGGGGATGAGGGACAGCCCACACATATATCATCAAGAGGGGTTTTAGGAGCAGCAATCCTGGGCACACTGGTACAGCACTCACAGCTTTCATTGTCAGTCTCTCATTAGTGCTCACAGTGGGATTGCTGTCCCCATGTTACAAATGAGCAAACTGAGGATTCTGAGTCACACAGTTGGTAGACAGGGAGGGGGCTGAGTCCAGTTTTTCCTGACTCCTGAGAAACCCACTCTACCAGTTACTGGTTGTGTGATCTTGGGCAAATTACCTAACCTTTTGGTGACTCGGTTTCTTCATCTGTGAAAGGGAAATAATTAGTCTTTATTTCTTATAGGACTTATAAACAGCTTTTTATAGGGCTGCTGGGAAGATCAAATGAGTTAATATCTGTAACTCATTTTCAGAACAGAGTAAAACACTCAGTAAACATCCATTATTTTGGTTCCCACCTATGATCACATTTGCTCCCTGTCACGACCCTGGGACGCTACCCTTTGTAGACAGTTGAAGACAGACACGTGAGGTTGAAGGGATTGAAGAATAAGGCCAAGACCAGCACCCGGGTCTCCTAACCTTAGGAGTCTAGGCCCCAGGCTGAGGAGATCTGAAGAGCAAGCAGGCCTGCCCCAGGCTCAGCCCCTCCCTCTGCCCGCAGCTGCCCTCATGATGGAGGAGCTAAATCCCTACACCAAGATCAGCCCAGCACTGGGTGCAGAGCGGCACTCGGTGGGTGCTGTCACAGGCATCGTCCTCCTGTTGTTCCTCATTGTGGTGCTGCTGGGCCTGTTCGCCTGGCACCGGCGGCGGCAGAAAGAGAAGGGCCGAGACCTGGCTCCCCGCGTCTCCTACACACCTGCCATGAGGATGACCAGCACTGACTACTCCCTCTCAGGTAAGGGCTATGCCCCCAGCAGCTCCCTCCCGCGCCCCACCCCCGAATACACACACACAGGACCCAAGAGGAGCCACACGGTATTCTTGGGGACACCGGGGTTTACCGCTGAAGGTGGGTGGTCGTGCCTGCAGAGTTGTCTGCTGGGGCTGGATGCTCAGGCTCCCCTGCAGAGATAATGGAGGCGAGGAGCTGGAGCTCACTTGGGAAAGGTAGATGGGGCTCCCAGGGGGTGTCATTTCCAGGGTGCCCACTCTGAACAGCTACGGTTAGGAGCCTTCCTCCATTTCCCCAGAGCTTCCCCTCCTCCTCACCGGGCTTTAGCCACAAGAGCACCCACACTAAGCAGTAAATTTCCTAAATGCTCCAGGGGAACCTCTCCCCAGCCTGTGCCACCTCAGGAAACCAGCCGTGGGGCCCAATGTCCAAGCCCTGTCCCATTTTTGTTTCCTTGGTGAAGGCCTCAGAGCACCCCTCCCTCCCAGTTCCCAGAGTTAGGAGGGCCCTATTTATACAGTGGAAGGGGACGGGGCCGGACGTGGCGAAGTCTGAAAGTCTGGGCAATGTCCCTCGAATCAGGCCTGCTGGAACCCAGTCTGTTCACAAATGGGGTAACAACTCCAGCAGGCATTTATCTGGGAGTCTGGACTGCTGCCTTAGAAATAAGAACAGCTTTTTGCTTCATATTTCATTAAAGAGAAGAGGTCAAAATGCTCTAAAATTGCCCACAGCCCTGAGCCACAGGAGGGTAGGCCTGTCAGGGTATGCACAAGGATGACAGCTCTCTCCAGCTGTCTCCATAGCTCATGGCTGACCTGCAGCCTCCTGGACCTTGGACTTACTTAGAAAACCAAGATCATGTCGGCCTGCTGACATGTCAATCCTGCTAATTCCATTGCCTACCATTTGCCCAGCTCCATGCTAGGCGCTGCAGGAGAGCCAGAAGCAGCCCAGGTGCAGACCCTACCTTGAGGGAGTTCCTGGCCTACATGCTGCCCTGGGTTTCAGCCAAAGTAGATATCCCCTGATGAAATCCCAAAGCTCATAGGGAGGATTTGGGGATTTTCTTCTATGACTATAGTAAGCAAGGTTGGCTAGGTTTTCCCATGCCATTCCACTGGAATCTGCAGGAGGGCAAGGCTAAGGTCAGGAGAAGTGGGGTTCTCTTTACAGCCTCACTACTGGGATCTGACCCTGGGGGAGGCAGGGGAGGGTCAGCATAGCCCTACATAGTGACTCAGGGATATCTGAGACTGTCAAATTAACGCTTCTCACGCTGGTGCCACCCTCCACACTGGCAAGCCTAACCTGCAAGCTGCAAGGAGGGCCACCGCAAGGAAAGGGGCAAATCAGGCTCTACACATTTCTAGGGGAGTAGTAGATGCCAGGAAGCTTGGGGGCTGGGAGACTTGACTGTCTCTCTTTGCAGAGCACTTTCAAGGCAGCCCAGCCCAAGCATTAGTTTAGGGGTGTCTCACGCCAGGGCCAGGGATGTGATGGCATGTGGCACCTTGTTCTCTTCCCAGATTTGTCTCAAAGTAGCAGCCATGCCCAGTGCTTTTCCAATTCCAGCTACCACGCACTGGCGTGCGGGGGGCCTAACACCAACCAGGCCAGCACTCTGGACAGGAACAGCCCCACCAAGGTACCGGGCCCCTAACTCCCCAGCCCCCATCCGCTTTCTACGCACTGAGCCCTCACCTCTGCCTGGGAAGAAACTGCACCACCACCACCCCGCCCAGGGTCTGTATGGAACCAACTGCCAATACAATACACATTGCCCTGTGATCCCATGTAAACACTCTGTGAAGCACGTAAGAGGAAGCCACCAGGTTATATGGAGCCAAGAAGTGCCATGTACCCAGGACACGTCACATGTAACCAACTCACAGCATCACTCGATATAACATACACTCCCATACCCTGTGTGTAACCGGTGGGTACCAAGTCATGTGATCATCAAGTAATCATGTGTAGCCTTGTCACACATAACCATGTAACCACTTTTGCCTCATGTTAACACATATAATCAAAACACTACAGAATTAACCACCACAGTATGTTACCAGCACCATGTGTGCAGCCAGCACATTATAGAGTAACTACTATTACTTAGGTACCACCTTACATACTACATGTTATCAGTACACACCCACAACCATTTGTTGCTATCAGAACCATCACAAGGGACATGGAACCCAAACATCAGCCACAGCCAAGTGTTCCCATTAACAGTGAGTCCTGCAGGCCTTCAAGGTCAGGTGTGTACCACCCTGGACAGGGCCTTTCCTCACAGCTCCCAGCATAACACTGGCTGATGGCAAGACGTCCTCGTACAATCACAGGCCCTTGGGCAAGGATGTCTCAGCACACATGTGTAGTGAGCACCCCCTGGTGTGCCAGGATCCACAGTGGGCAGATGAGAGGTTCAGAAATGAGGGACAGCCCCAAGGACCACAAGGTCAACGGGCTCATGCTGCATACCTGCGTGCACACACACACACTATGGCAGGACCATGGGGGGCTGGGTGGCAAAACCCCATCCTGGGCCAGGAACATGGCCAGGAGCAGTTTTCATCCTCCAGGTCTGTGCCTTATAGAGCTCTAGGGATCCTTTCTCCCCATCTGCCCCACGGAAAATGTCCACCAGTCCACGGACCATGGCTGCTGCCACAGCCCTGGTAGCAATGCACCCTGAGCCCCCTAGCAACAGTGACACAGACTCCATATAGCCCCAGGAGCCACCCCTGTCAAGCCAGCACCCAAAGGCCCTCTTCAGGGGCTCTCAGCCTCAGTTTTCCAATAGACTGGCAGTGCTGCAAACAGGGGTACCTCGAGGTCTGTATGCAAAGCCTGTGGCCGTCAGCCCCACACCCAGCTTCACAGCTTTAGGCTGATCTGAGGAGCCAAGGGAAGGGAATCCAGGAGCTTCCCAGCAGGAGGTCCTTGATTAACTACAGCCACATTATCAAGGCTACAGCAGGTTAGAGGCAAAGGATGCCAGGGGTGAGAGACAGACGCCAGGGGTGAGAGACAAAGTCCCTTGTGGCCATGTCATTCTTGGTCTCACGCTGACAGGGAAGCACCAGCCACCCTCTGTCACTCAGTAAGGGGGTGGGTGGAGTTACTACAGAGTAGCCCACTTGGTGACCCTCTGGCTCATTTCACCCCAGGGGCCCAAAGTAGTTCTGTGTGGTCAGGGACCCCTCAGCCTGGCAAATTTTTAGCAAGGGCAGGCAGCTGTGATGACATGGAAAGGACATGGGTCTGGGAGCTGAGACCTGAGTTGTAGACCCAGCTCTGTCACTGCCTGTGTGTGTGACCATGAGCGGGGCCCACAAGCAGGACTCAGGTCCCCAGCTGTGAAATGAGAACAACCATCCTCGCCTCATATGAAGGGCAGCTGTGAGATCGCAGGAAGAGGAAGGGTTGCGCCATAAGGCCAACCTACCCTGAAGCTTTCTTGGTCACATGAAAGGAAGATTCTCACACTCAGCCCAGGTCAGGTGGCAGAGGTGACAGTGATGTTGCAGGCAGCCTCGGCACCCGGCTCTGTGCTGGAGATGGCCTCGTGTTGCAGCCGAGACGCTGCCAACACCCCTTTCTCCTGCAGCTCAGCCCCATCCAGCTGACCTGCTTTCCCCGTCAGGGCCAGCTTGGCTCAGGCCAGTTCTTGGCTCTCAAGAGGCCCTGCCCTTTGCTCCCCTTTGTCCCAGGGGCCCAAGAGCCTTACAGCTTCAGCCAGACTGCTTAGATGGGGGTATATGTTCTGTTCCCACTGGCCTCAGCCACACCACGGTGGCCTATCATAGAACACCTAACTCTCCCTTTCCCTCAACGACCTAGCACCTAGGTGGGTCAGGGTCATCACAGGGGTGGGTGCACGAGGGTGGGCAAAAGCAAAGGCTGGGCAGGAGCATCTCAAGGGCACTAGATAGTAACTCGCTCTCCTACTTTCCAAACAGCTCAGTAACAAGTCCCTTGACAGAGACGTGGCAGGCTGGACCCCCTACAGCTATGTGAACGTGTTAGGTCAGTAGTGGTTTGAGTCTGGGCCCCTGCCATCACATCCCACCTTCTTCTCCTTCTCCCATATTGACAGGGGCCCATCCCAGCTTCCTGGGAGAGTTAGTAGATAAGTCTTAAGCATGGTTTCCCCCAGGGTGAAGGGGTGTGGGGAGGAAACCCAAGCGCCTATTTCAGCTCTTATAAGCAAATGAAGTCCAAGACCCCTTTCATTCCTATGTTAGGGGATAGGGAGAGAGTGGCTATGACCCAGGCACCACAAGGGAGAAAGCTAGGGCCCAGATGTGGGGATTCAGGTTGGAAGCAAAAGATGCACTCACCATCTGGGAAAGGGACCCCTGCCTGAGCCAGGCCCTATCAAGGTGCCCCTTTCAAGGGCTTATTCCCTCTGCCCCACTGCCCTGGCAGACACCAATTCCTATAGGGGTGCGGGTGGGGAGTGAGGGGTAGCAAGGCCAGTGGCCTCAGCTCTAGCGAATCCCTCTGGCCCTGCTGGCTCTAGCGCCTTTGGATGCTACACATGGAAGCCCTAATTCCTTCCAACCTGCCCCACCCTGACCCTCATCCCCCAACGCCTGCCATACCAGGGCCCTGGGAATAATGGCTCCTCCCTGTCATCCTCTCACTAGACTCCCATTTCCAGATCAGTGCCCTGGAGGCCAGGTACCCGCCCGAGGACTTCTACATTGAACTTAGACACCTCAGCCACCCCGCTGAGCTACACTCACCAGGTTAGACTCCCAGCCCTACCCTCTATCCCCTGGACCCCTGAGGTTGTCATACCAGACCAGACCCAGCACCTACCCTAACCCCCACTCCTATCCTTTAACTTACCCCCATGGTCCCAGAACTCTCCCTGCTGAGCCCCTTCCCTCCGACATAATCTACAAGCCCAATTCCCTATCTGAAGAAGGAAGCCTGTCTGGATCCCCTCAGTCACCCCTTCTCCTCCTATCATGGTCAGTGGATATAGACAAACTGCAAGTAGTATTAGGTGAAGGGAACACAACATAACCACACTCCCTGCAGACCACAGAATACAACCCAAAACCACTGAGAAGTGACTTGGAGACGGTGACATCTTTGGGATTCTTTGGGCCCGTGGATGTGAATGACGGAGAGTTGGTTCTCTGGCCAAAAAGCCCAATGTCCCTCAGAGAGAGACCCCAGACTGGCTCTCCCAGATCATAGGGTAGGGTGGTCCAGTAGGGATCTAGAGAGTTTGAGGCAGGATGTGTCAACCAACATCCTCTGTGCTCATATATTAGGCTCAAACCTGGTAGCTTGGGAAAGACGCAAAAAAGAGACTTGGAAAATCAGTCTTGCTATGGGAGGATGTGAGGTAGGAGTTACAGAAGTAGGTGCAATGAATAAACAGAGAACTTGGCCTCCCTACAAAGTAGTCCTGCCCTAGATGGCACACTGGACAACCTGGGCCTGAATTCAGGCTCTAGCTGGTTTCTAGAGCTCAAGTGAAATGCAGCTCTGCCAACCCCTGCAGGTCTCTGAGGCCAGTAGCAGTAAGAAGAGCAAAGGTTCTAAATCCATCTACCTGTTAAGTAGGCATGGGCTTCACATACCCTGGGCTTATACCCAGGAGGCTGTGCTCCTGGCTGTGAGCCCCCTAAGCAGTGCTCAGGACATTCAATAACCCCACCAAATACAACCCCCCGACACACACACTACCACCACCCTGCACCTCTTTCCATTTGGGAGCATCCTCTGGGCTCAGCCCAGATTTCTCCCTTCAACCACTGTAGCCAGAGCCACCACACACTGTCATTTTTTCGCTTACACTGAGGCAGGCTGGTGGCCAATGGGAGAGAATACTTGAGAACATCTGAGGTCTGGGCAGAACTCAACTTCTCACTTGTCGGTGTGATCTCAGACAAGTCACTGCCCTTCTTTGAGCCTGTTTCCTGTTCTCTAAAAAGGGAAAAAGTTAACAGCCTAGCCTCCCTCCCTCAGGGAAGGCAAAAGAAGCCCTGGTCTAGAATAAAGTGCTGAACTGACACCAGTGATACAGACTGTTACAGTCATGCTTCTGAAGGGCACAGGTACCTACAGGCCCTTTGGAGAATAGCAAACTTGAGAAAAACTTGGATCTGATTCTGCTCTATCACTGAGCAATGTGTGGAAGGAAGGGAGATAGGAGTAGGCTCCTGCAATTTCAACTAGGGACCTCTATCTATATGGAAGAGGTATGGGGACGTATCTAAAGAGCCATGGGTTGGTCTTCAGTGTCAGCAACTGGGGAGAGTCAAGTGCAGTCAAACTGTGTTTTAGTAAGCACTTGCTGCATGCCTTGCCTGATATGGCATTCTCAGTTAAAAGGTGAAAATAATGGCTTTGTGAGCCCAAGTCATCACTGTCCCAAATTTAAAGTATCACATAATTTCTTTTCTGGGATCACCAGCAGCAAAGAACCAGAGCTTGGTCGCTGAAGCTTTGTGTCCTTCCTGCCTCTGGCTGGGGCTCAGAACCATGCATTGTGGGAGCCTAGGATAAACTGTGACAGCCAAAAGGGAAAAAAGAAATCCTTGGGACTGAAAAACACTGGTAGTATTGTTCAAATACAACTCTCAATTATGTGCAAATGGTCCACCCAAAAAAAGTGGGGCAGGGGGAGGGGGACTAAGCCAGCTGACTATGTAAGGGAATGACTATACATCCTGTAGAGGTGACCAGTGAAGAACCTCAGCTACCTGTTCACCTCCCTCTGGCTCCCCTCAGTCGAGCTTTGGATCCAGAAGGGGAGAGGGAAGACCAGAGCTACAAGGTGAGAAACACTCTTCACCCCCTCTCCGAAGTCCAACAGAACTGGGACTGGGAATGTCATACACCCTTCCCCCAAGCTAAGAACTGGTTCTGATTCATTCCTTATCCTATACTTTTGGAGACCGAAACTTCACCTACAGTGACTGTAGGTGGCATCAGAACTGCCTTTGATCACCTCCTGGAAGACGTTCCCCTCAGAGTGAAGGTTAAAGAGCAGTAGTGCTAAATACGCCAGGGGGTGCTGTAGCTCATCATTTATGCTTTAGGAGCTTTTAAAGAATTCCTGTATGGTCAAGATGATTTAGAGTAGATTAAACCCAGAATAATTTTCTAGCACTAAAGAACTATTTATTTTCTGGGTAGGGGAGAAAGAAAAAAAACAAAAAAAAGAACTCATGCAGTCTAGGTAAACCTCATTCACCCCTATATTTTTCTTTCCTTTTACTGTTTTTATGCAGGTGCTTGTGGAATGGATAGACGTCAGAACACATACATTATGGACAAAGGCTTCAAAGGTACAGTATCTAATCCTGACGTCCCATTAGAAAGGGCTTAGCAAGAAAAAGAGTGCAGATCTGAAATGGCCAGTTCTACCAGGTACAAACTGCGCATCTCTTCCCCCACCCCGCCCCCCAAAAATGTTTGGGGCTGCTGGGTAGCTCTGCCCAGGAGGAGCAATCATAATAATAATGATTTCATCTTTTGATTTCAGTTGCACCTGCTTAGGAAACGCTTATGGGTTTTTTATAGATGCCAACTAAATGTCTTCGGAAATGTAGAACGTCATTATCCAACCAATTAGTACAAGTTAAATTGATTATAAAATCTGAAATAAAGTCAATCTACCTGCCCCAGAGGCCTCCTGTCATTGCGCTGGTAAGGAATGCCACCCTGCACCTTCTGGCTTTCTGGGGCACAAGGAATGAAAATAATACCTAGTGTTAATATTGTACGGCACTCCACCCTCACGAGATCTCTGCCCCAGAGAAGAGGGAAGCCAGGACTAATCCCTAACACATGGGAACTGCAAGTTGGATCATCCTTCTAGGAAGTATACAGGTGAAGCCAAATATGAAAGGTCAGGTCCTGCCCCAGGCTTAGGGCCTAGGTTTAAATAACAGAAATGTGTGAAACAGGTGGCTTTGAAATTGTCACTTATTAACTATGACCAACCACCAGTAAGGCACAGTTTTCTCAAATTGCAAGGTTGGGATAAGTATGCCTGTCCTATGATCTAACAAGGTTATCCTGAGTAATAAAAAACACAGATCAGAAGTGTTTCTGCATACTGTAACGGGTTATACTAATGTAACAGAGTTGTCCTTTTGTCTCTGAGGACTATTTAAGAGTCTCAGCCAAACTGAAAGAGATATGACTTACAGCAACGATCCCAGTGGATATCCTAAACCCAGCTGTGTACCAGAATCACCTGGAAAGCTTGTTAAAAATACATATGTTCACCCCCCAACTCCCCAAGATTCTGATGCCATAGATCTAGAGTGGGACCTTTTGTGACAAATGCCTCAGGGCATCCTTATGTAGCATATCACCTAACACTTACAAACCCCTAAGTCTAGACTGACTCAGATTTCCCAGATTACCCTTCTGGTCTTTCAGACTTAGACTTAGGTACACCTGAGACACCACTTTCCTAACCAAGGAGAGCTAGTCGTCTTCAACCTTTGGTGGGGTGGTTATTAGAAGTGGGGTGAGGAAAAAAAAAAGTGGGGTGAGCTAGGGGTGGATGGTGGTGAGAATTGTGTTCTGAACAACAGAGCAGGAAGGACAAGTCTCCACCAGCACGTGTTAGGATGTGCACAGCCCAAGAGAACGATCTGAGGACAGAAGGTCACCACCCATAGGTCACTATGCCCTTGGGATCATCATTCTGACAATTTTTTGTTAGTTTTGACTTAAACCACCCAAATGAAAGAAAGCGCCATTACAGTAGATGAAGCTAAACAATAGAAAACAAAACTATACTGTCTTATCACTGTGACCTCAGTTTCTTTCTCAAGGAGGAATGGGGATTGGACAGAAACATCCCTAAGGACCTTTACAGCTCTGAGAATATGCATGACTCAAGCATGAATGAATTCAGACAGGCCCAGACACCTCAATAAATGAGCACACAACTTCCCTATGCACTTCACTGTCCTGCGCATTGTGTTTATAGTAGTTACTCGCAGCCATAAATGTAAAACAAAGTTAAGGACAAAGTTAAGGACTTGGCCATGGCGTCATTCATTCCTGTTTTGTGGGATCATATATCTGAGTGTCTGAGTGCAGGGGAGACTTGGAAGCTAGCAGCCAGGTTTCATTTCACCACTCTGGCTATAATTATCCTTTAAATTGGAAAGAAAAGATGGCTATGTAGGCAAATGTACCAACAGGTGTTAGGGACCAACACACCAGAACAAGAGGAAAATGGAACATCACAGTTAACAGCTTTACAGAAATACTTATCAAAGACATGGAAATAAACCCCACTAACTGGCTGAACTCCCCAGATAAACATTTAATAATCTAGTTTGTACCAGGAATGGAATTATTTCCTAAAACTACTGGCCCAAACCAAATTATAACCACTAAGAGTTAAGATAAAGAGTCTTAGCGTTCTCTGAACTCAGTGGGAAAGAGCCCTGGCCTGGGAGTTAAAAGATATGGGTTCTAAGGGGAATTCCCTGGTGGTCCAGTGGTTAGGACTTGGCGCTTTTACTGCTGGGGCCCGGGTTCAATCCCTGGTCGGAGAACTAAGATCCTGCAAGCTGCACGGTGCAGCCAAACAAAAATTAAAAAAAAAAAAACGGGCTTCCCTGGTGGCGCAGTGGCTGAGAGTCCGCCTGCCGATGCAAGGGACACGGGTTCGTGCCCCGGTCCGGGAGGATCCCACATGCCGCGGAGCGGCTGGGCCCGTGAGCCATGGCCGCTAAGCCTGCGCGTCCGGAGCCTGGGCTCCGCAACGGGAGAGGCCACAACAGTGAGAGGCCCGCGTACCGCAAAAAAAAAAAAAAAATTTGGGTTCTAGTCCTGGTTCTTGCTGTGTGGCACCGATTAGATCACAGTGTTGTTTTCTGAGTCTTGGTTTCTTCCTCTATTAGAAGGACAGGGTTGGGGCTCCCCTGGTGGCGCAGTAATTAAGAATCCGCCTGCCAACGCTAGGGGCATGGGTTCGATCCCTGGTCTGGGAAGATCCCACATGCCTCAGAGCAACTAAGCCTGTGTGCCACAACTACTGAGCCTGCGCTCTAGAGCCTGTGCTCCGCAACAAGAGAAGCCACCGCAATGAGAAGCCCGCGCACCGCAACGAAGAGTAGCCTCCACTCACCACAACTAGAGAAAAGCCCGCGCGCAGCAAAGACCCCACACAGCCATAAATAAATAAATTTATAAAAAAAAAAAGACAGGGTTGTGCAAACACTATCTCTAAAGCCCTTTCCAGCTCTAAGCATCTAATCCAGTCAATGCTCCCTTTCCCGTTACTTACTAAAGACCTCCACTCACTGTCATCTGGAGGTTGCGCGAGATCACTCATACCGCTGTGCTAACCCCATTTTACCTCTAAACACCTTTCCATCTCTCCTTCCCCTGCTCCCCCCTCAGCAAAATTATTCTGCAACAAACTGCCTCATGTCAACACTTATCTGTCAGGCATTTCAAAGTGCTATAGAAGAATCCTCCCCACTACTCTCCATCACCTTAATGATCCTGAAATCCTGGATCCCACTGTTGCTGCCCCTTTCCCCACCTGTATGCTCCTTGCTAATCCAACCTCCAAGTCTCTCCTTGCAATAACCCTGGCTTCCCAGGTAGTCAGGAGCCCACTGACATCCTGAAAACTTTTTTCAGCCAGTGTGGGAGAAAAGGCATTGTGGCCTTCTAATAGTAGTAGTAGGCTGAGAAGACAAGAGATGGACGTTCAGTGCCTGGGTTTTCCCCAACCGTGAAATATTGGCCTTAAGTAGATGATAGTGTGAACCTGAAGGCTGGGATAAGTTCAAATCCTACTCACAAGATGGCCTTGGAAAATCATTTCCCCTCTCTCGATTTGTTACTTCCTTTATAAAATGAAGATGTTTCAATTAGTTCATTTCAGAGGCCCCTTCTGCCTGATAGTTATGTGGCTGTATGTGATTTGGGGAAGGTAGGAACTATATGAGAACAAATGCCAGGACATTATAGGGCTAAACCTTCAGCCTTGATGCTAATTACAGGCCTTAAAGGAGTGACTCCCCAGAGCTTGGAGAGCCTTGGTTGATGTCTCCCCTTTCTTTGCAACATGCCCAAAGTGCAAAGACTGGTATAGAGGTGGGGCTATAAAAAGATGAGGAAGTGTCTTAGAGCAGCTGGTTATTCTTCCCCTTACCCTGCCCTCCCTCAGAGCAGGCAGGTGGATGACTCAGCTGGAGAAGAGTAGGTTCCTGAAGTATAGTTTTCCAGCTGGCCCTGCCCTTCCCCTCCCTCCTCAGAAAACAGAATCCAGTTTATTCCATAATTCAACACCCTCCTACCACCACCTCCAAACACACACACACTCTTCTCCATCCCCTTTGGCTTTACCTCTGGCCCCTTTATGGATGATACATCTTCTCCCTGAGACTCACCCCATTCCCACAAACCCCAATTTCTCTTTTATCTATTTAGGTGCATCCCCTGCTACAGAGCAAACAATTTATTTCCCCAAACTTGAAAGCAGCCGACTTTTCTGGTGGAAATAAGAGGGCCACTACTGGTTGGCTGAGGCTCTGTTAGGCACTGAGCTAGAGCTTCAAGCCTCTCCCACTGCCCTAATAATCAGTCATGGGACGTCCACAAAAAGAGCTTGGCCTTTCTCAGCTGAACTTGGCCCCACAGACAAAAGGCTTTCCTTGTTCAGGGTAAGGTGAAGTTGTTGCAAACAGTCTGCATTTAGGATATAGGACAGGCGTACAGGGTAACAAAATATGGGGGGAAAACACCTTGACTGGGTATCAGAGCAGGGAGGGGTTGTCCTAACTTAACTACTTACTAACATTAGGCAAACTTTATGAGCTTTAGTTTCCTCATTTCTAAAGTAGTAATACTAGTCCTTCCTGCCTGGCCCCCTGCACAGATCTAACGAGTGTCAGTGATCTAACTGGAGTCAGTGAAGACCAGCTACATGTGCTATAAAGCGAGCTAACACTAGTCCTCAAATTTTAGAAAATATGCAACTGAGTCAGCTGCCAATCAAAGTAAAACTGATGTGCCTGCGTGGGGAGGAGGGGAGAGGTGTTAGGGGATAGCCCTTCTTTAAGCAGTACTAGTAGTCCTCAGCTTCCACAGGAGCAGCTGAGTCATACTGCCTTACTACTTGGCTGGTAAATTCAGAGAACCCAAAATGGGACCAAGGGGCCAGCTGAGGTTCCTAGACTTAACCCCACTCCCTTGTACTAAGAAACAAAGTATTCACTAGAAGCAATTCCATGTGACTCGGGCAGGTCATGGCCTAGCACCCAGAGCCACCTTTCCCCTATGAGAGCCTCACCAGTAGCTGGGCCAATCCAGCCTCCCTTTAGTCTCTGCTGGGACTGCTCGTTGTCTAGCAAGAATGTTTTCTCCTCCTCTCTAGGGTTCTAAGGTAGAGAGAGGCCACCATCCAAGACAGGACCCAAGACCCACATCTCTCTCTGCCTGGGGGCTAAGCTGTGATACAAAGTGCTCTGAGCCTGGTTCTGGAGCTTGCTCTAATACTGACGAGCAGGGTAACCCTGGGAAAGTCACTATACAAATCTCAGTTTCCTCATAAGCAATAAAGGGGGAGGGGAAATAATAATTACTGCTCTGCCTACACTTTTAGGAACTAATGGGTGAATGTAGTTTTGTACAAGATTGAGGAAATGTTACCTGCTAAAACAAACATAAATAACCCTATACTAACAAAAAAGTAAATCCCCTCCCAACCAGTTACCTGCTGTGGGAGAAAAGACTCCTGTGGTGGCACACATCTCAACTACTTCAGTCACGTGGAGCGCTCTGCTCTCACCGGACCAAGGTACATCCAGTAACCCCTTGAATTATACTACCACTTTCACTTTTTTACATTTTCATTAATTTCACAAGTTGGAGGCAGAAAGCATAGAAAAATAGCAGCCCCAAATGTAATTTGTGGTGGTTCTAGTGAAAGATCATCTGAGAATTTTACCATCTGCTAGCACTTATAGAAATTTAGAGCTGAGAAATAGAGAAATTTCACCATCTGCTACCACTTATAGAAATGTAGACTTCTTAGATCACTCTTGACTACGAAGCCCCTGCAACTCAGTGCTTATTTCTAGATTCCCCTGGCTGGCAGAGCCTCACAGAAGGATGAGGGCCAGAGTTGCCAAATTAGAGTCTCCTGCTTTTTCTAGGCAAGTTCTGCCTCATTTGAAACAATCCACAGGAGGCAGTAATCTTCCCCCAAAAGGGAAAATGGCATAGAGGTTGAAAGAAGGGCTCCCGTTTCACTGTGACTCCCAGTCACAAAGAGAACCTTCTTCCTCCAGTGAACTACAGTTACCTTGCTTCATATTCGGAAACCAGTTTACAACTTTTGTACCCTAATACACCCTGAAGTCTTGGGGATGATGCACCTGAGAGACTACAGGAGAAGCAGCATGAGTTCTCCTAGTATCAGAGAAAGATACTGCTAAAATAGATTTCAGTTAGCATTCCTGAGAACTGGAGTAACTGACCCCAGAAGATATACTGCAGGCTTACTAGAAAACAGGAACTTTCCAAAGCCTAGCTTGAGACCCAGGTGCTTTTTAAACCTCTATTACACTTCAGTCTGCCCCACCTCTGATCACGAGCTTCTCGAGAGCAGGGATACTACCTGTTTGCTGCCTAAAGGTTGCCAAATTGCTGGCACTTGTGCCAAATCACACGCCTACTTCTTCTGAACCTAAGCTTAGTCCTCAAAAAGAATTCAGAAAAATGATATCACAGAAAATACACAGGCCAAGGAGTCCCAAGGCATGGATTCAAGTACTAGCACTGCCATTCATGAGCCATATGACCTTAGACAAGTCACTTCATCTCCCTGGGCCATCATCTTATAAAATACAGTCAACTATCCTTGCAAGATTTTGTAAAAATTAAACAACAGATGTGAAAGCATATTATGAATATCTTGAATTAATCCCTTTCTGGTGCTATACCTGACTACTAAAACAAAAATGTTCTTATCCCTCCAAAAACATAATTCCTTAGAACTCTGCTTACCTAGAAAAGCACTCCTCAACGTATTTAGTAAGTGAATCTTGGATTATCAAAGGTGTTTACAAATTCTCGATCCTGAAAGCACATAAACTGTACTCTGCTTTTGGTATTTAAATTAAGTCATGTGTCCTTGCTTGTCCTAAGAAATCTCTCTTGCCTTGCAGATTACATGAAAGAATCCGTATGCAGTTCTAGCACTTGTTCCTTGAATAGCAGTGAAAACCCTTATGCCACAATTAAGGACCTACCCATCCTCACCTGCACGCTTCCAGAAAGCAGCTATGTAGAAATGAAGTCGCCTGTGCACACGGGGTCTCCATACACAGATGTGCCATCCTTGTCGACATCTAATAAAAATATATATGAAGTTGGTAGGTGTCTCAAATAAGTAACTTAGTGAAATCAGGGCACTAGTACAGCATCTGAAGTGAAAACAGCCCTCTCCAGTCCCCCTGTCTTGAAAATACACCCTTCTTTTGTTGCTTTTTAAGGAATCCAAGGTGAACTGTCTTTCCCAGGACTGCCCTCCTCTCTCATACAAGAAATCAAATTCTTGTGCCAACTCTGCTTTTAAAAAACACTAAGGCTACGTGTGAAGCAGATAATATTGGGGGTGGGGAGTCAATACACACACATACACTTCAACTGATTGTTGACACAAATTCCTGTTTAAAAAACAATCAGAACAGACATTTGCAAGTTTCGAAATCACCTTGTTCTACTTTTTCCCAGTTTAACCCATGTCCCTGGGCTCACTGATACAACCCCTGACCCCTACCTCTAGGATACTCTAAGTCCCTCGGTTTTGACCAGAGCTTGGGATTCTGATAGCACACTCACTTAGCTTTTCAATCTCTTGAACAAGCCTCAGTCCTAACCTTCATACATTTATCATAAACCCCTGGCTTCTCCCCCGACCAAGTTAAATAGAATTCTCTTCCCCCCAACAAGGCAACCAAAGCTAATCTGTTCTCTGAACTCATTTTTCACTATATTCCTTAGAGCCCACAGTCAGTGTGGTCCAAGAAGGCCGTGGTTGTAACTCCAGCTATATCCAGAATCCATACGACCTACCTAGGAACAGCCATATTCCTGGTCATTATAACCTCCTCCCAGTAAGACAGAGCCCTGCCAATGGGCCGTCCCAGGACAAGCAGTCTTGAGGGTTAAGCCTCTCTCTTGCAATGCGCTCTGCTGAATATTCTCTGACTCTCTGAAAGAAGACAATCCCTTGACTTGAAATAATGGTACAGACTGACTCCAGCTGCGTGTCAGTTATAACGTTCACCTGGAACTAAAGAAGAGCTTCCAAGTGGGACTGGGGTAACTGTTCAAAAGGTCCGTTCTCAAAAGCAAATTCTACCGCCCACCCACCCCCAACCCCAAATGCCACGGATTATATAATCTTTTAAAACATTTAAGATAAAGCTACTCATCAACATCAGCTAAATATATACATATTAATATTTATATATTAAATTATCTGAAACATGATGCTTAGAAAGCATGTAGAATAGGTTTTACCAACTTTCCTAGGAGTAAAGGGGACTGGGGAGGAGAGGGGATTACTTTAAAGCACCTGAAATGTATATGTGCTTTTGGTTCCTGTTACCATCACTTATCTGTTTTATTACCTAAGATAATTAGTACATAGACACAAACTGTGCTAATATCAATCCTAAAGTACCTGTACATATATGTCAGGTCAATCAAATTATAACTGCCAAGATTACAGAGTTTAGTATACAGTCTAATGCTGACAACTTCAATTTTTTAAAATAAGACTTTAATGAATACAAATTAACTTTCCCTCTTCTGCCCCTGCTGGTAGTAGGAGGAAAAAAAAGTTTCCAAAGTGCCACAGCCTCTTTCAATCAAACAATGATTTCTAGGCCAGCTTTACAAAATCTTGCCAATTCAAAGTTCAAGAACATTGCAAGCCAGTCCTGGCCTTGTCATATCTCCTGAGTCCATCCAACACCTCAGTTATTGCATGTGAAATGGAACTCTGAGATGATGCCTTTAAGCAAGCAGTCATAGACTGGTAAGAATTAAACATCCCTAAAGATGGTTATTCGGCCTCCCGAATTTATTTGGTTGGCATTCCTTGACTCAGAAGAGTCCATGCTGTCAAGCATATCTTCATAAATCTTGAGCTTGATGTAGTATGGAACCTAAAAGTGTAGAGGAAATTAGACAAAAGTGGATATAGGAAGTTTAAGTTGTTTTAAGTACATTATGCTTTTTGATGGAACTAAATGAAATGATCAAAGAAGAATGGACTGTAATCAATTGCTGTAACATGATGTAAAAACTTAACATGTAAGTATATGAAGTACTTCTACCTTCTAAGCACCACCTACTGACATGGCCAAAAATGTATTACAATGAGCCAATGCTACAGATCCCAGTATTCAGGTGTAACTATACTTCCACTCTAATGAATGTAAGTAAACTGGGGCTCGGATGGGTCAAAAAGGAGCCTCTCCCAAGCCCTAAAGAGGACCTCCTCACAAGAATTAAAGACCAAAAGGGCAAAGCAGGGAAACTAATGACCACCCTATACCAACTCCATTCTCTGATTAACAGTCCAGGCAGTAAAAAAAATACTTCCAAAAAGGTATACAGAGGAGGAACTAAGTGACTGTAAATGACTGCAAAGCTGGAACAGCTGCTACAGGAAATGTGGGAGTTCTGAAGCCCTTGATACACACTGGAAGTCTGCCATGGAACCCATTAGTTTGGGCAATAACCAGCAAAAGCAAGAAAATAAATAAATGAGTAAATCCTCCCTCCCCCACTTCACTCAAGGCTTAAGCAAATTTTATCGTTAGGGGAAAATATAATACTTACATGAATGCTGCATGTATGCATGGGAGCAAGTGATCAGCAATAGCGAATTTACTTTCAAAAAAAGCCTTATTAAAATATAAATACTAGAAAATTACTTTGTAGACCCAAGTAAATATTTCTCATACATATGTAGGAAGAAATAGAGATAAGAGACTTACCTCACTATTTCAGGGCAGCAAGTGCTCAAATATCTTTCTCAAGTAAGGATCAAGAAGCATGGTGAAGTCAGATCAGCAAGGAGAAACTTCGTCTCAATCCCAGGTTTTATTTTCTTCCCTTAGCCTGCAGGTACAATAACTGCTGCCTGGCAAACTGCAAACAAGCACTCAAGTTTCGTTTCACCTCTTTTTTGCCAAGTATCTTCTGGCAAAATTCAGCAAGAGGTGGCATGGTGGAATTGCTAAAGCACTGGGTCGAGATTTGAGTGTTACTTGTCCTCTCTGGGTTCCTTTTTTCCCCATGTATTGAAAAAAAGGTAGAAGCAGAGAAAGGTAAGGGAGCTCTGACAACCCTTCAGCTCTAGCATTCTGTGATTTTTAAAGAAATGTAATACAACTCAAATCAGGCAATACAGTGAAGAAGGGAAAGGCAGAGGGTGTGATTAATCTATTGTGACAACAGCTGCCTTCACTTATCTAAGAGTTACTGGTAAAAGACATTCCAATCTAACAGAGCACCTACTAGGAACTTCTGTCTAGCACTGTCACAAATAGGTTCATGGTCAACCTAAACATGTGCACTGTGCATTTTATTGGCAACATGGAAAAGTCTGTTCAATTATTTTACAGAAGTTAAGTTTTTACTCAAAGTGATGTGCATACAATTCAAATGAATAAGAAAAACACAATTACTGTACAACAGCATAAGTGCAACTATGAAATGGCAATACTTTTTTAAACACCCCAGATTTGTAATATATTTGTTCACTGTGCAGAGGGATCGTACCTTGTACAAAATAAAATGAATTTCTCAAACTAATTTAACAAGAATGCCCACTGTTGTGTTGCAAACTGAAAATGTGTCTATAATCTACACCTTAGGTTTAAATGTAGAACTAACCTACATTTTGCGTGGTCACTCTAGACAGCAAGAAAAGTGAAAATCATCCCAATACATGTTTGAAAATAAAGTGAAAAGGTTCTATCAAATTTATAACAAGAGAGTCTCTTCCTTTAAAGTAATGAATGGGAGCAACACATTCTTATTCATGTACAAAAATTATTGAAATATCTCACACACATCAGTATACTCAAATAGAGAATTTCTCTGCTTTCACAAAGATCTGGACTCAAAGACAACTATTACAACTTGTGCTCAGCTCCAGAGACACAAAGGTACTTCTATGGAAAGGAATAAAGGCAAGTGTAAGGGCCACCTAATTAGCATAAGTGCAATGAAGAGCTGTCCACCAGAAGTTATCACCCACTACAGTACTCTGGGTGCATCTGTTTTAGGACCTTTTAAAACATATCCTTGTGACCTAACTGGTAAAGAAGCAGCAGAATTAATTTTGTAATAAAATACAAATGCTAAAAAATAGCTTACTGAATGCATTCAGTGGTATAAGTTTAAAATTTCTCCCTTATACTTTCAAAGTTTTGTATGTAATCCTCATACTTAAGTCAAACTAAAACCTTTCAACTTGCCAGTTCACAAGGCTTACATGATACTCAAAAGTTATTTCCACTTAATAAAATGTCTAACCAAGAACTTTTGCTATTTAGAGACTAAGACTCATTCAGAAAAGATCTAACAGACAATCCTTAAAGGCCGGGAGGCTAGGGCTTTGACATCTGAGTGAAAAACAAAACATAATCAAGGGATATAAGGCTAATAAAGGTATTTACTGAGAATAATAGTGCTTTAAGATTATGACTTACGAGGCTCAGAATACCACCCAATAGCATAAATGACAACCAAAGGCGGCAGGTTGTGCACTCAATCACTGCAAGTTGTGCACTCAATACAGGAGATTCAAGAATGATACCATTAGCCATTCATCCAGCCAGAGGGAAGACAGAAGAGGCCCAATTAATCTGTATGTGGCAACAGAAGATGGAAAATCTTTCTCAGAAGGGATGGATGACGGATACATAAGGGATTCATTATACTATTATTTATACTGTGTATAATAATTATATATTATTTACATAATAATTTTATATAACAATTGTTTAAATGGTAAAATTCTCAGACTACAGCCCCCCAGGCTAAACTAGAATGAACCCTAGGATTAGCCCCTTCACTCTTTTAGATGGTCCTTCCTTATTGTTCTGACACAGGGTTGCAGGAAGGATAAATACTAGGAATATAAGTATGAACAAAGCACTTTCCCCACCCTTGCAGATCTTACAATGTAGCAATTACAGAAGGGCAGGGATAAACAGAGGACCCTGGCGATTAGTCTGATAGTGATTATACACTTTCTTCCCTGACCTGCAGAGCTAGAAAGACTCTGAGCAGTGGTCCAACAGAAACCCAGAGAAGGAGGAAGATCTGGTCTGCAGCGCCAGTTGTCAGATTACCTCCTTATTCCAGTTTCTGCCTCCCAGGCCATTGTCTAGCCCAGCAGATGGCCCTCCAGAGCCTTAGGAGTGAGTGCTAAAAGCCATACGCTTATTCATTAGGATGCGGATAACAGGGTCTGAGATTTTGTGGTTTGGGGCCAAGGTTAAGTTCTACTGACTCAACCACAGGAAAGGAATCCTGTTGCCTATTAATTTTCACCATCACTGGTACTGATAACATAGTAGTTAACAGCCAATATACATGACATCTGTGCCAGGACCTATCAATTCTATGCTTAATAATGTTAAATAATTCAACTCAAATGTTTACTAATAATTAATTACTATCCTAATAGACAATGCCATTTATATCATGTGTGTGCACACATAAACCTATACACTTGGATTTAATCATTGGTTCTATTGATGGAATCAGTCCAGGGACTGATCTACCTTACTAGATTCCACTTAAGAGATTAAAAAAAAAAATTAAACACAAAATGTTTTTAAAGGTTCTCTCTCCCAAACATGAATATATTTCAAAGTATATATTAAAAGCCAGCAGAATTTTCTTTTAACAGTAAAAGCCAAAAAACAGCAGTTCTCAGCTCACAGTTGACATAGCAGCCCCTCAAGTGCTCCTCCCCCCTTAGTACATATAGTACTTTGATGCATATTGTTGAAATTGACAGTCATTTTGCAAATGTTCTGAAAGCTTTCATCTTATTTAATGGTGTTAACATGGAAATAAAGACAGCATTTTAATCAAGTTATTATAAGACCAAAAACATCTTGCAAAGTATACACATGATTTTTACTTATCTATTATATTTAAATTTTAGTTAGAATGCATAATAATTTGGCTCTAGTACCTGAAGAAAGTATTCATTCATAGAATTACTGAATTAAGGCTGGGATAAACCCCAGAAATGGTCTAATCCAGTCCCCTCATTAACTGGAAGTGAGGTTCAGAGATAAAATGACTATAAGACCTGTGACTAAATTCCAAGTCTTTCTCACCCAGTCCAGTGCTCTATTATAGCTGCCACTTTCAATCTTTAAACTCAGAATTTAGCATACTTTCTAATATATGCCTAGTATCAACTTCCTTTCAAATATTCTTTCTCTATCCTCCAATTCAGCTTTTAGGAAAACAGATACCATTATCTCTCAGTCTAATCCTAATGGTCTCCCTTACATAAATTGTAATGATATTAGCATTCTGTATTACTTTATTGTTACCATCAGCCTCCCACAGTTTCTTTAAAAGATTAGAATGACAACTCCAGTTTATTCGGCGTATTGTATAGATGAGTGAAAAAGGTGACCTGTCAAATCCCAGGAAGGGATGCAGCACCAGGACTGCTCCAACCAGAACAAAAAGCAGCTCTTTAGCACTTGTTTGACTGTTATGCTAACCCACTAAATGTGGTGAAAGAAGGTCCTTTCATTGTCTTTGTTCATTTTTTTTCACACAGGGAATAGATATCCTTATGCACAGTCCTTATGCAAAATTCATATTTTGTTTTGAATTTTTTTCCCAGGCTTACGATGTTTGTGAGACATCAAATAACCAGGCTCCATTTTTCTCCTGTTTTAAAAAAAAATCTCCAGAAATTGAAACCTAACAGGTTGGAGTAAGATCTTAATTATCCACCCAGCCTTTGAGTTATTCTGCTTCTGGTGTTGGCCAAAATTGTCTAAATAGTAGAGCTTTTTTTTTCTTTTTAAGGTAGATGGAAGAGATTATCACAATAGCTCAAACCACTGAGAGGGTTTGCATTTTGTAAATATAAGTCACTGACGACAAAAATTAAGATGTTTATTTCCCCAATGATGAAATAAATATGACTAGCTCTGATGGGCAATCCAAACTCAAGAAGTCTAACTTTCCTGCAGAACCCTCTGGCAGAAGACACCAACTAGCACCCCTTCTTAGAATTACAATTTAGCATACTCAGTGCAATGGCTAAAGAAACTTACCCTTACAGAGTAACAACTACTATTAGAGAGAAATCATAAACAGCATTTTAGAACAATGACATACAAGTTAAAATCAAGATGGCTAAGTGACTTTTCAGGACAATACAATAGGTTTTTTAAAAATTCAAAGTTAAAATAACTGAAAAGCAAGGTCAAAAAGCAAAATACTTCTAAACTACCTTGAGCCCTAAATTGTCATAATATTTAAAAACTTAGTGTTTCTTACTTGAGACAGTCTGTCTCCTGAGATAGTCTGTCTCCTGAGATACTATTCAGAATGAAGACACTTGTTGAAATGCAATCAGATTCATTTTCTACTACTACTTAAGGTTTCTTGGAATTCTCCCAAGATCCAACCATGCCCAAGGCAACATTAAGTCTACATTTGGTAAAATTTCAAAGTTACTTTATTCATTTTCAATTCACTACCTAGTTTCTCCTTCTCTTAAATGATTTTGTAAAAAATTTACTACCAATTTTGAGTAAAATAGTGATGGAGCCTCTTCTTGGGTCTGGTGACACTGTTACGTACCAAAGTACAGAGATTACTTTCCTAATGTTTTTGGTAATATTCAATACTTTTTCCAAGAACAGCATAATTGAACTATATGTCTAAAATCAAAGCTGAATTCACACAATGATGCCTCCAATTCAATTGTTTACTCTGTAATCCAAGGACCTATGCTCTTACTCATCAGAAGCAAATATTCCATGGCTACATCCAAAGCACTCAAAGGAAAAATATAATCTGACAACATAAAGAATAGTCCCCCTATAACAGTTTATTAGAATGTGAATATATTCCAAATCAATAACTAAAAAAAAAAAAAATCAAGTTACAAAGCATGCATAAAATACAAAGTAGCAATTTACAAATAGATAGTAGTATCTTCATAACCAATACACCAAAATAATAAAACGGCTACAGAGAAAAACTAAATTGACTAATCACAGCAATGCCTTCCGTGCGCCCCACACGTCATGAGCACCGCAAAAGACAGAAGATTAACTATGAAACATAGTAATCTATGCAAGCCCACACACGTATATTTTGGGGATATTCCACCATCCTGAATAGTATCACTTTAGTTGACACAACTTGTAGAACACTTCAGAGTTAAGTGCTCAATACTATCCACAAGAAAACAAAACTAAATATTAGTGTGCACATTTCTGAATGAGAAATGAGTTGCTCCATTGATTTCAATAATGTAGTGGAAGAAAACTTTCAGGTTTGTACAATGCCTAAATGCATTCTATTTAACTCAAGATACTATTTCATCTTGCGTACTAAAAGAATACATGCCTTTAAGTGGTACCACTTGAGCAGAAATTAACCTCTCACTGTATTCTTTAGACATACTGAAACCAGATATTTAACTGGACTATATTCCATAATATACTGCAAAACTCAAAAATCAGCATTGTTAAAATAATTTTCCATGCCTGCTGGTGGATATGGTGATAAAACTAGGTTGCATTTCATTTACTGGAAGGTTTTAAGACAAAATTAACACTTCACCATTGGATACTAAGAGCATTAAACCAGTTATTGCCTGAGCAATAAAATGCCACACAATCTACTGCTGGGAAATCGGAGAAGTTAAATGACTTGGGCTGCCTGATTACTGTAACAGAGGCACCCCATATGGAATTCCACCAGTCTCTCCAGTTCCCAGCCTGCCAGGCAGCACTGTTTAACATATGGCCCCATAACCATACTGCTACTGAAATCATCACTGTCTTTTGTGTTTATTAAGATAATTCTTATCCAGAAAAAAGTGCCCCCCTCTCTAATCAATTTTGATGTTTACAAAAATTAAAAAACAAAATTTACTAAACTATATAACCCTATTAAGGCATGTTAGAAATTGACTTCCAGAATAATGGAAAATTTTCAAGCTCTCAAAATTCTGCTATGTTTATAGGGCAATTCTTAGATTTATGGAAATATACACTGCACTGAGAGAAGAGTGTATTAATTATAAGCTGCTCTGTGGCAAAATGATAGCTTATTTCTACAGTCTTCTTAATTTGATTTAATCAAGACCAACAGATGAGCTTCAAGGGATCAAGTTAGATTATGTCCTACAGTGACAGCTTCCATGATGAAAAGTAAACAATAATTGAGGAATCCAAACATTCAGTTTATTAAACTAAGGCTAGTGAAGCCATAGCATGAAAAAAAAGCTGCAGTCATTCGGGACAAGTGGGTGATTTTATAAAGCTAAAATCAAAAGACTTAAGACATGGAAAAATTCGTAAGTATGAGGAAGTAATAAAACACAAAAATGACCACAAGAATTACAAATATATTTAAATCTCAGACCTGGGAATTGGACTATACACAGCCTTCTAGGGGAGAAGAGAAACGCCTTATATGTTCTGACAGCACTGCACCTTTGGCTTGTTTTCAGTGGTTGGTGGAACATGAATAGGAACCACATTGTTGCTTGGAGACATGTCATTTTCACGTCTGTCTGACATTTGCTTCTGGGAAACAATGCGGTATATCTCTGAGTAAAAAAAAAAGAAACAGCAACACCCAGTGTGAACAGACCCATAAATCGTTGATAAAAAAGATACACAGAGGCATAAGTTATATTCATAAGAGAAAAAAATGCAAATAAACTGAACAGAGACTGCATATACTCAAAGTTTTATTTTCAAACAGCCACTGATTCGAGTCAACCCATTATTTCACAACAATTTCCCTTAGGGTAAGAAGAGAAATAAAGGTTTTCCATTTCAGAGGGAAAGGTTTACCAATCAGTTAAATAAATCTTGGTCTAAAGAGATTACACAGTTTATGGGCTTAGATCTAAATTTCTACCCTTACCAAAAAAACCTACATACATTGACACTGTACCACAGAAAAATATTTAAATCTGCATTATCAGACACAGTAGGTATTTCTGTTGGCTACACGGGGAAGCATACAACTTCATAAACAAGTCAAAATCCCAAAGGACTCTTGGAAAAGAAGAACGGAAAGATAATGTTTATCAGTGCCTCCTGAACTAAAGTTAAACTGTAATGAAATAATTATTCAAATCAAGCAACTTAAGATTTTCTATGACACTTATCAAAACTAATTGTTTAGCATCTACCTCTTCCACTAAACAAACTAGTGGATGAGGAACGTTGCCTGCCATATCAGTAAACAAAGGATGATGGGCCATCAAGCCATCAGCCACTGCACCCACCCCCCTCTCCCACGGTGCACCCCGAGGGAATTCAGGATGGAGAAAAGTAGAATACTGGCACTAGATAGTTAAGGTGCATATCAAAGGAGTAATTTCAATG